CAACACTCTACGGCAGCCCCAAAGGCCTCCAGCTAGTCCGCTCCCCACACTTCATCTGCCCTCAATGACAACCCCCTGCAAGGCCCAACTGCGGGCCGCGTTCCTGAGGTGTGCTTCTCACTCACAGAGGTGAGAACGCAGGCTTCCTCATCTCCCAGGCTGACCTCAGGAACAGGAAGCTGGAGGCAGTCCAAGCTGAGAGGGGAGCCTCGCTTACAGCGGCTCAAGCACGCAGCTCTCTCCAGGGCCTAAATCTCCCGGGGCCAAATCCCTCTACACCAGAATGCCCAGCCTCACAACATGGTCCAGGCTTCTATCCACCTAAGGGCCAGTTCAGGCGCTCACGCGCTGCACCTACTCACTGGAGTACCACACACTTCGGGAAACCACAGTGGCCTCAAAGCAGGTTCCTGAAATGGTCCGTCAGTCACCGGCCACTGGCTGCCATTCAATCGGAGTCTACTCAGTAACCTGCCCTAACCCCTGTTTCAACACTCCCCGACCTGGCGCTCAAGCAGCACTTCCTGAATCCACCACTGATAATCAGCTGCCTCGGTAATTTATAGGGACAGTTTCCCCAAGGGCACTGAGGCCAACTTTTTAGGTCAAAGGAGTTTCTGAGTCTGAGGAGTCGTCTCCAACTCACCTTTAATGACAACAGTGGGTTTTACATCACTTCTGATGCCTTCCTCTCTGCTTCCCTGCCACCAGTGGGTGAGAAGAGACTCCAATCCAGTGTGACCCCTGAGCACTAGGAGAGAGCCCCTGCCACTGGCTTCCTCAGCTGCTCGCCCAGGATCTCCCAGGGGGGCCACCTTATCCCTACCCCGACCACGTTTCCTACTTGGGGCCCCACGTGTGTGGGCTCCTCTCTCCCCGCCCCCTATTCCTGCCCACACATCCTGAGGCCTTACACGCTAAAAGTCCTAGGTTCCCTGACCTCGCGCCTAATAAAGTTCTCAATGGCTAAGGATCTGGGCTCTGGGTTTTAATGATCCGTAGGGAAGAGAGCTGCTTTCCTCCTGTCCTTGGGACAACTGCTCTTCGTGTGACTTGGTTTAATGACTCCTAATGGAAAAAAGATAAAAGACAAAAGAAACCACGTCTGATTTTTCTTTAACTAGAAATTATCTCAGAGGCTATGAAATTAGGTCTGGAGAAGGGCAACAAAAAGTATGGAGGGAGTGAGGCCAAGTTTTCTTCTGAGTCTGAGAAAGAAGTCTGAGAAGGACAACTGCCTGTGTGATTACGGTGATAGAGGATGACATAGGTATATACTCCTCAGCTTCCCTCCAGCCCAGTCCTCCCACAAAAATGACCTCTGGAATGACACAGTGGGGCGTGGGCCTGGCTCTGCCGCTTGCTGTGTGACCCCGGCTGATCTAAGACTGATCTGTAAAAATATGGATAATCGTACCTACAACCCTTTGCTGTGATAATTAAAGAAGATAATAAGTGTGAAAGTACTTATCAGAGTGCCCACAGCTTGGCTGAAGCCAAATAAATGTGAGTTTCCTTACTTCCCTTATTTTGACTAGTGCATGACACACTCCTTCATTTGCCTCATCTCACAGGCAGAGGCCTTCCAAGACCCCACGGTGTGTCTCCCAGTAATTACGGTTCCTCCTCTGCTCCAAGTCAAACGCTGCTTTCACACCTTTGTGTCTGTCTCCTGCACCTCCCGCTTCTATCCAGCAGTTTTTCCTTCTTGACTCTGTATTCATAGGATTGTCTTAAAATCCTTCTGACTGCAATGACATTTCCTCACACTCTGGACTCCACCACCACACCACCTGTTTCCTGCTCTTTGATACTGTACACAGGAACGCCCAAGGAATGGGACACGATGTGATTTGCTTCACTGATGGCCCCTATGTGAGTGCCACATATAAGGCCCAAGTTTACCTTATCTAGTAAATGTGTAACATCTATATACATTAGGAATCATAATAATTTGGTGGGTGGAACACTGGGCTTGCAGTAAGAAGTTCTAAGTTCAAATTCTTGATCTGACACTGAACAGCTGTGTGGCCACAGATCACTCATTCTCAGCCTCAACTCACTCATCCAGGAAATGGATGGTCAGACCCACTGTTAGTCATACAGATGCTCACTCTCGCTCTCATCACGGGGCTTAAGGGCCTCTGCCTCATTCTGTCCCCAGGAAGGAGCAGCAAAGACCGGGAAGCAGTGGGGGGTATGGGACGGGGGACTGAGAACAAAAGCTTTTCGGGACACAACAAGGATGCTTAGAGAGTAAGCACTACAGCCTGTAAGACTGTGCCCTCGCCTGCATAACCTGCCTTTTCCTGTCCCTTCCCTTTGGCTGATTCCATTGGCTTTGTCTTCCTCAGGGGACCAGCCTTTCACAACTGGGCCAGGGGATTCCCCTGCTCCAAGGCCCGCAGGAGCGGGGCCGGGGCAGGGCCGGGACAGCAAGCACAGCAGGCTCAGGTCAGAGGAGCTCTAATGCGCAGTGAGAATGACTCTCGTTTATCAGACTTGATTCCCCCTCGTACTGCTGGAAGAGTAAGACCTACAGGGACAAAATCCATGTTCGGACCTAGAAGAGAAAGGACCAGAGACTAGAATGCTCAAGCCACCCTCAGGGAGAAGCAAAGGAAATACCTGAAGGTCACACAGGGCCTGGTCAGCTAAAGGAAGGACACACAGACTGGGCCCAGGAGACCGCAACAGACATGAAAAGTGGATTTTTAACAGGACTGTCCCCAGTGACGCTGGGGATTGGGAGGGCAACAGTAGTTGGCAGGTCAGAAAATTAGAAATTTGGGATTCTGTTTTTTTAATGCATTTTTAAAATTGTGGTTAAAACTACATAATAAAATGTACCATCTCAGCCATTTTTCAGTGTAGAGTTCAGGAGTGTTAAGTATGTGATGTGCACATTATTGTGAAACCTCTCCAGAACTTTTTCGTCTTGCAAAACTGAAACTCTGTACCCACTGAACAACTCCCCCTTCCATTCTGCTTTGTTTCTATGAATTTGACTACTTTAAATATCTCAGATTCTGGCTATTTTTATACCTGGGTCACAACTTGTAACTTGTTCTGTTTGGCAAACCAAGGTTAAGTATGTACGGGCGTGACAGATCCATGCAGCAGGCTCACTCAGGAAGCACAAACCGCAAGAGCAGCTAACTTCCTACAGCCACACAGAGACAAGCATAATCCTACAACTGCACAGGCCACGGCCATCAGAATTCAGGATTAGCATGGAGAGAAATGCATCACCACCCCACTCTCAAAAAGAGCCAGGGAATGGTTACAAAACCTAGTGCAGAACTTCAGCGTTCAGGCTTTTGACCTGGTAGGACTAGCACCTGAGGGTGATCAGTGCCATTTTGGAAACGTACGCTATTAAAGACTACTAACAAATTTGGCCAGTGGTCCCAGCGAACACTCCTCACCTCCAGGAACTCTAGGCAGAAATGTGCACAGGACTGAACCAGAAATACAAAACACATGAACACTTCATCATTAGCTAGGCCTGTGAAACCCATTCCTGATGCAGCATTCCCCAGCAGGGCTAGATCACATGGAGAACTCCTTTTCCCTCTGTTAGTGGTAACCCTGAGCTTGAGACCAAAGTAATTATGGGCAGAACAGGAATTCATAAACTACTAGGCCTGTATCACAAGTCTTACTACTCATAAAAAAGGAGGCTGGCTGAGGGGACCCAAGTCAACACCAGAGAGAATGGAGCCAGAAAGGGACAGAGAAGAGAGAAAGATCATTTGCCACCATGCCCAGGTAGACTCGCCCAGGCTTCCAGACAGGGCCGTGGCCTGGAAGTCAACCCAGCACCTGGAGAAAGAGAGGAGAGAAGCCTCTCTTCCCCTGGGCTGGCCAGGAGCAGCCCCAGCCTTCCCACCCTGACAAGCACAGTCAGGAAAGAGAAAGACACCACACCTCCCCACAGGCTTAACCTTCTCACCGTGCACGGTAGCTACACCCACTAGGGCAAAGGCCACTGAAACGTCCTTTATCTCACTGAGTCAGTTCTGCTCGTGCAGGAGAGACGTGAAGTCAGGGCAGGGAGAGGCCCAGAGCTGAGAACTCAACCTCTGGCAGTGAGGGGAAAAGATGAGAAGCCACATGCCCCAGGCCAACAACCACTCAGACAGGGTTCTCCTTCCTCTTGCTGCCCAGCTATGCATAGCAAGAATGTAAAGTTCTATCATGAACGTGAACCACAGCGATCCAGACTGCGTGTTCAACTGCAGTATTTTGGATTTCAGCAATGACCAAATAAAGAGGAACAAATACCTGTCCTATGTAAAATCTATGGTGTCTTCTTGAGTCAAGCTGAAGGGAAAAAAAATTATTAAAAAATGATCACAAATTCAAAGGCTCAAAAGAAAATGAAGGAAAAAAAGGCTTGTGCTGGAAACATGCTGCTCTCAGAATCATGTCTGCACAGAGACTGATGTAACAGAGTCCCCAGTAAGAAGACTTTCAGGAACTCATATTTAAGGAGAAAGCTGCTGTTCAGACTTTGGAAGAAAATACCAGAAACTTATGGAGTAACAAACTCAGCTTAAAAACAAGCTGTGATATCTCAGTGAAGACAGGACCAACGGGAAAGAAAACCAGGAGGGCATCAGTCTAAAAAGCAGGTTTCTGGTCCCGAAGGCCTTCAGGACAGCAAAGGAAAATGGAACAGAGAGAGAGAAGATTTAGTAACCAATGGCTTACATGAAATCAAGAAAATCAAACTTCAGAGGTACAAAGAGGAACTCCAGATGGGACAACAGCTTCTGCTGTCTTCAGAGTTAAGGAAAGTTGTCTAAGGCCTAGAGACCTCAAAGCCAGATAGAGGCAAGAGCTTTCTTAGAAAAATCATGAGATACGGAGACTTTCTTCCTCACTGAGTCTGAAAGGGAACATGCTCAGAAAAAACTCCAGAGACAGTTTCGGTTTAGAAACAGTTGAGGGCGATTCTCCATCGAGGAAAACGGTCAAACAAGGGGAAAACTTACCACAGTGACAGAAGTCAAAACCCCCAAGACATTCCAGAAGAAGAGGCAGAGGCAGGGCCCACAGTGGCTGAAGGGCAACAAAAGCCTTGGGATCCTGCTGGGTTAGAAACATGCAGAGAGAAAAGTAGAAGGTTTGTATTATGGAGAATTTAGGATCACAAAGTTTTTTGAAGAGCTGACTATTATAAATGTGGGGTCCCAGCTCAGAAGATAGGTAGACCCACTTATATTTAGGATTTATATAAAAATATGGAATTCAAGGCCTGTAGGGCCAAACAGAGGATGAGAAAGCCTGAGAAACTCTAGAAAGGAAATTCCAGGCAAGCCTGCACAACTTCCCTTCAAGATATAGGAATTCTAGTATCATAAGTAGCCTCTTGATAGGAACTTTATCCAAATTGAGTTTTAGGTTCACACTGGATACTGAGTAACTGCCTCGGATTGGCTGGCATCCTAGAGAGTCTAAAATCAATACTGTTTTTCTCACTTATTTTCCAGGTGAGAGGCTGCTGAAGGAGCAGAGACTAGAGGCAGGGTGAACGAGTTCATACCCTGGTTTTACCACATGCTAGCTGTGCAACGTTCACCTAAGAGGTTAAGAATGGGGTTAATGGAGATAATAAAAGGCACCTGACCCTGAAAGGTAACATTATAAGGTAGTTTAAGGATTAAATAAATTAACGCAGGACAAGTATTTAAAACAGTGCCTACGGGCTTCCCTGGTGGCGCAGTGGTTGAGAGTCCACCTGCCGATGCAGGGGATGCGGGTTCGTGCCCCGGTCCGGGAAGATCCCACATGCCGCGGAGCGGCTGGGCCCGTGAGCCACGGCCGCTAAGCCTGCGCTCCGCAACGGGAGAGGCCACAACAGTGAGAGGCCCGCGTACCGCCAAAAAAACCCAAAAAAACAAAAAACAGTGCCTAGAAACTGTTAAGGGCTCAACGAAGATTAGCTATCATTATCATTATTTTATTTATTCCATCTACTTCCTCCCCTCTCTGCTATATTCTAAAACTGCTAAGAGTAGTTTGGGTATAGATTCCAAGATCTATTTGAAAGTTCGGGGAACATCACTTTTCCTCAGGAAGTGATGACACATTAAGGGAGTTAGGGATCAAACTGCTGCCCTGTTAACATTCGGATGCAACATTCTCCTAAATTTGGGGAATCTAGGGACGGTGCTAAGTTACTATATGTCTATATAGCTCCCCAGAAATCTGGGGGGAAGGAAACATGCAAATGATACGAGGTTGGAGTTAGCCAACTCTGCTAACATCTATCTGAGGCAGCTCTATCACTTCAGCAGAAACCACTAACATGAGAAATGGGAGTCCTACAGACTGCCCTGAGTGACCCTGCGACATCTGAGACTGAATCAAATGGGGAGAAAAAGGAAAAACGAAAATGCTTTCAATATATTTAGGGATTTCAGTTTCTAAAATGGGAACAAAGGGTTGACTCAGAATGAAGGTTGTTAATAGGATATACTTTAAAGGGCAGGAATTTCAAATGGTTGCGAGGGGGCCAGGTTTTTTCTTCCTTGCTGAATTACACATGCCAATCATGGTGCCTGCAAATCCTACAAATGGGAACGGCCTCAGCTTTAAGGACAGGCCCAGCTGCTGCAGACCATATAACCGCTCCATCTCACCTCACCACAGGGTCTTAGACTAAGTGCAGACACCTGACCCATGAGCTTAACAGTGACCTCTGCTGTGGCCTGGAATAACAGTAAAAGCTGCAACAAAGTTGTATTCCCAATCTCTCTCTCTCAGGAATCTAAACAATATTGAAAATGAGGTGATTAGCCAGGAGACATGAAGCTGAAAGGTTACTATGTACAAAGGAACTGGAGCGGTCATGAGCAATCACAGCAAACCAAAGTCATGAGGAAGTAGAATCTCTAAGTACGGTAGAGAAAAGATAGATGGGATAGGAAAAAAGAAAAAAACCAGATGGCAGCAAGAGGAAAAAGACACAAAGGAAAGACAGCTGCCTTGAGACCCCACTGTCGATAGGAAAGACTGCAGTCGTTAGCTGCCTTAGTTAACGACAGTTTTCTGGCCCAGGTGCATCCTTACGCCATATCCCATTTCCTAAAATGGAATGGATCTCTGCTCCTTGCAATAGAAAATCGCTAACTAAAACGGTTACTTCAGCTCCCCTGAGGATGGAGTTTTCCCAGGAGGCAGGTCGGTGCCTCCAACAAACAGACTCCTGGCAAGCCCACCCCAGCCAGACGTGCCTAGAGGTCGCAACAGAACAGGGCGTCTCATTCCCTAGGCTCCTTCGGCACAGGCCCTAGGGCTTACGAGCATCTCAGTGGCCTACGAAAATGTTTGAGACCTGAAAAAAAATATTTACTGGATGTAAAATATGAAAATAAAATCATAAAATCAAAGTTAATAAATGTTTAATGTCTACAACTAGTCTAATGAAGCTTAACTCACAGTTTTGTATAAGCTAATTTCATGTGGGATGTGGGTACATTTTTTTAATACGTTTGATATGTGACATGGTAAAGGCCACCGAAGATAAGAGTGCTGAGGCCTTCTAAGGACTGCAAACCAGTCCCTCGGAAGGAGACATGCTTGGGTGTAAGCTGGAACCTGCCCACCCTGCCCTCTGCAGAAGTGTACACTTAAATATTATGCCTGACTACTCAAAACTGAGCAGTCTGAAGTTAGAAATCAGCCCTCACCTCCCAAATTTCAACACACTGTAATTTTGGTGCTCCTGAATTAGGAGTCTATTACTTTTTCTTAATGTGATATTTTACAAAAATGAAGCCGAACGACTTCTACTAGCCGTCCTATTAGTTTTACCAAAAAGAAGGGAAAACATGTTATTTAGGCTACAAATGGTCCTGTATGTTTGAAGGACATCTGTCAGAATAATAAATCAAAAATTGGTCACATTTACTCTCTCCTTGTGCAAGAGTCCCCATGAATGTCAGGAACAGATCCAAACATTCTCTCCCATTTGGCCAGATTCTTAATCTGAGAAAAATAGGAGGTAGCTCAGAAGTTATACAAGATTTAAACCTTATACCTGTGAAAGCAGAAAGGCAAATACAATTCTCCTTCCACAGTCACTGCTGATTAGGGCTCTCACTGGGTGAGCACACAGAAGCTCCCCATCTGTTCCAGCTACGACCACTGCCCTCTCCCCACCTTCTCTGCTGGCCTTCCCCGCAGACCTCTACACTTCCCGGTCCTGCCCCCCATACACCCACTCCCGCTTCTATACCCCACCCCCACGACGCCTCTTCTGCAAAACTGTTCCCTGGGAGTTCCCTGGCAGTCCAGTGGTTACGACACTGGGCTTTCATTGCCGAGGGCCCGGGGTCCAATCCTTTGTCAGGGAACTAAGACCCTGCAAGCTGTGTGGTGCAGCCAAACAAAACAGAAAAAAAAAAACCAAACAAACAAAACCACTCCCCTCCCCGTCAGAGCGCAAGACCAGACCCTTGCTCCTGTTTCACTCTTTGACTCTAGTTTACACACGTCTCCTCCGTCCCCAGTTCCCTGCACTTTCTCACCTCTCCTCAGGCCTTGCTGAAGGCACTGACCATTTCTTTTATTCCTTCTTTCTAAACACAAGTGTCCGCTAAAGGTACATCCTGACTCCATTTCTTTTTTAGCTCAACCACCTGCCTGGCTTGAATGAGAACCATTTCCATGATGACAATTCCACATTCTCTCATGACAGAAATATTTCCCTATCATCCCACAATGAACTGAAAACCACTAATTCGCCATATGAAGTCCCTATAAAAGGCAACATCTTCCCCCAACAAGTCTCCCAGGCTGGGAGCTTTAAATCCAACTCTCTCCCCCTCCCCACCCTACACATCTTTCCATTTCATCTGATCTCTGCTTATTTTCTCCTCTCAGCGTTTAAACCAACGCAAAGCCTCTTCCGTCTTAAGGAAAACCCGTGTTCAATCCTATGCCTTCTCTAGCTGCCATGCTCTCTCTCCATTTCCCCACCCAGGCTTCTTCAAGGCTTATCTCCCCGACTTCTATCGCTCCACTTCCCACTTACCCCTCCACCCATCACTATGCCACTGAAGCGCCTCCAGGCGCAGCCTTCATCTCGCAGGACTCTCCCTCTGTGACTCCGCTCTCACCACCACAGTCTTATGCTCAGCCTGCTGGAGACTCCTGCTCCCCCTAAGCACCGGTGCTCCCGTGGGCTCCACCTCAGCCTTCGGTGCTCCCCACTTACACCCCCACCAGGCCAGCCATCCAGTCCACGCGTTCTCAACTCGGGCTGTTAAAGAGAACCTTTTGTAGGAGTTGTTTTAACCGTGCAGAATGCCTCCAGAGGGCGCTCAAACACTTGCTCAGAAATCTTCATGGCCATTTACATGACAGCATTAGAACCTGAAAGGAATTTCACAGTGGATTACTACCTCCAACTCATTGCTAAGCAGCATGAAGATTTGTACAACCTGCTTTCTGCAGGTTCCCTGATCCTAACTGTGAGTCTGGGGGCTTGCTTATCACAAGGTCCTAATCCTAGCATAATATAGAGATAAAGTAATGTTACTGCATATTGGTTAACTAAAAACCTGACTTATGTTTGCTGGCCGATGCCAAGTATTTTGAATCATTGAAATATTCTTAAATCCTATCAAGCTTAATCCTACACATTTGACATGCACATCTAAAAATAATTTTGAAAGCCAGAGGGACATAATGGGGTTTACTCTGAAGGAAAGGAGTTCAGATTATTTTTATGAATTGTTTTATCATTTACCTAAGAGGCAAATGTATTGTTTTATCATTTACCTAACCTCTTTAGGACAGACATTTGCTCTGGCTTTAATAAGGGCTTCCTCACAAGATCTGTCACAATACTGTGGAAGGCGCTGCAAAATTAGATGTGGAAATAAGCTATGATTATTTTATGAACTTGCAGGTTATGAAAAATAAATGAGCTCTAGAATAGCTTTACTGAATTTCTTATATCAGGTGACACAGAGACAATGCATACTCTAGAGTTAGAATAAAGCTGTAGAAATGCTTTCGTATTAGCAACACAAATGACTGCTTTTTAAAATCAAACTTTGAATTCTTCTGATACAACGCCG